TTGTATAAACTTACTTTTCCGAAGCCAAACTTTACAGAAGCACTTTTTGACACAAGATTGTTACGCCGGTCTAGTATGGACCCAATTTTTCTTTAGAAATTCAACAAAACTTGATTTATGATCACACATGTGGATGCATCCACTTGCGACAAAACACAGTATGGTCGCCCGCGTTCTCCTTTGTCTAGGGACGGCGCTACGCCACGCCACCTCCTCAGCGCTACCTTCTTTTTGTTCCTCATATCGGGCAACTTCCTCATAATGCCTTTTAGTTGTTTGTTGAAAAAGCTTGTAGTTAATAGAACGCCGTTCGTTACCCTGTTTCTTTTCCTGATGAGGAAGTTCTTCCACAGGAGAATTCTTAGTTGCAGCAGGAAACCCATCGCATCTGGCCAGAGCTGCTCTATTCCACAGTGATGCAAAAATACTGCCAGTGCGACATTCAGTCGTTAGTCTGACAACCCAACAACTGTATAACAAGTGTGGGTCCCGTGACTCTCGAATGCGAGCAAACGCGACGACGACGCGCGCCCCACTGTCGGCAGACGCGTTCGTTACGGGACCATTGTAAACTTGGGTGCCCGGCAGCCGGCCGGCAGGGCGAGCGTGATTGACAGAATGTAGTTCGCACGGCCGAGAGGGAGCAGCGGGCGGAGGGCTGCGGGTCGATAGCAACCGGCCGCGGTCTGACATCGCGTCAAACTCGCTCGCCTAGACGAGCGCTTGCCAACGCCCTCAGGGGGTAGTTGATTATGTCTTTCATGACATGGCATGGCACTGCGACCGAGGGGGCCCACCACTCGCGTAATCCTGTTTACAAATGAGGGTGTAATCCCTGTTCAATCCTTATGTATTCCGAGTAATTCTTGACCAAATTTTAAAACATTATCGCTTAATTTCGCCTTATTGTCGAAATTTCACGGTTGTAGAGCGAGAAATTCAAGAAAACTCAAGTGTAATCCCTGAAAATTCACGTGTAATCCCTGTAATCACGTAATCCTGAGTACATTCTAAATCAAAGTGGTGGCCCCCTCGGCTGCGACGCGGCAGACGCCTGTCCGGTGCGATTGCGCGCGCCGGTCCGGCACCGGCGCTGGATGGGCTGCCTAAGCGCCCGGCGCGGCGGGGCCCTCGTCGCGTCGCGTGGGCGCGCTATCGACGCGCCCGCGACTGTCGCCGCGCCCCGGACACGCCACACTGGTGTATTTTCGTGTGGCGTCGGGCGGAAATAAGATCGCGCTGTGCTTGAAATAGCCACTGCATCGTGTGCATGCGTCTCATGTTTCATGAATCCCCACACAGTTTACGATTTCGTGTGTTTTCCGCGTGGCTGTCAAGGTTTAGCAGTGATCGAGTATGATTTGCGTCGGGAGGCGTGCGACTAATCGGGACGAACTGCCCATAGCACTCTCAGCATTATCTGCAGGTGTCGGACACGCAGGTGCCGTCGCCAGATAACCCCCAGTGACAGCAGGTACGCCGCGCAGGTCGCAAGGAGTGCTGCTCCTCGTCGTCATGAAGGCCCACGTCGCCTCCCCGATGCTGCCCCTCGCGGCCCTGCTGCTTGCAGCCGGCACGGCGAGCGGTGCGCTGAACGCTACGTTAAGCACGCCCTTCTTGTCCTGTAAGTAGAAGAGTGGCTGTGCGGCCCTGCGTCCTGCACCTCACAAAGGGCGGTGTTCAACGAGAAGGCCGGCGTCGGCATGGTTGTAATGTTCAAGGCACGAAGGCCCACGACCCGATCGCGCTGCGCATCAAGGGCTGCACTAAGCAGCCGTGCCAGGTCGAGAAGGGGTCGGTCGCCGTCATGGAGGTGGACTTTGAAGTCGGCTGGGACGTGACGCAGCTCGACGTGGTGGTGACGGCCTACGCGCTAGGCACCGTCATCAACTTCCCCCTCAAGCAGAAGAACGCGTGCATGTCGTTGACAAACGCCGAGTGTCCCCTCGACCAGTACGAAGAGATAACCTACCGGCTGCAGTTAGATATAGATTCCAAGTACCCCAGCGTGAGTAAAGCCTAATAAGGGTGTCACTAGGCGGAGCCTTGGCGAATAAAATGAAAAATGAAATGATTGAAATGTTTCTTGCAGATTTCACTTGCAGCGGAAGTCGCTCTCCAAGATAAGGGTAAGACTATGATGTGCTTCCGAGCAAACTTACAAGTCGTGGATCCAGCGTAAACTTCATACGTCAATAAAACTGTCGTTTTTGTGAATCAAAAACACCTGTTAGGGAAATTAAGTAAAGTTGCTTATTCGTGTGTTGATGCGAAAGTTTTTCATCGCAACAAGTGGTTGGGGCGCGGTTTGTAATGCGACGCCCAAGCCCTGCCCCTTAACGACCTTGAACAGGTTCGATATAAAAGCTAGATGTTTTTATGGAGTTCAAAGAATAAAATTGGACGATTGTAACAAAACGCACAATGTACACATTTATTCGTCAATAATTTACAAAATTGGTCCCTCCACATGACAACGGTAACACAGGTTAACAAGAGCAATTTGAAACACAGGTTTATCGAAGTGTAGTTGTAAGTACACCAACACCTGTCTGTTTATCCTACCATGTCTCTTCTCTCTTTCTCCCCTAAGGGTGCTCCGCCCTCTGCGCCCGCGCAAACCGCATGAACACCTAGAACACGCAGAATAAGAAATTACAACACCCGCATCTTCAACAGCAATACGCATAAGGACAGACCGACACTTACGTCCTCGAGGGTGGTCTGCGTGACGGAGTAGTCCTCGACGCTGCCCCCGCGCCGTGCCTCGTCCAGGGCGGTGAAGATGGCTATGAGCGACAGATGGGGTGGCAGTTGCAGCTTGATCTGGTGCAGGTGGCTCTCGACCACCGAGGCGCCCTGCAGCCGCTGCAGCAGCAGCTCGGTGGCCTCGTGCACCCGCGGCAGGCTGCACCGCACCACGGCCAGGTAGCCCGAGCCGTACTTGTGCTTGAGGTGGTGCGGGCTGCCGATGCAGGTGAGCTTGCCGTTGACCATGATGGTGAGGCGCGCGCACAGGGCCTCGCACTCCTCCATGCTGTGCGAGGTGAGCAGCACGGAGCGGCCCGATGCCACGACTCGCCGCACGCGCTGCCACACGAAGCGCCTCGCCACCGGGTCCATGCTCGTGGTGGGCTCGTCCATGTACAGCAGCGACGGCTCGCCGACCAGCGCGATGGCGGCCGACAGCTTGCGCTTGTTTCCGCCCGAGAGGTCCTTGGCGTTCTTGTCCTTGTGCGCGCCCAGGTCGAACAGCTGGATGGCGCGGCGCACGGCCTGCGGGACACGAGAAGGGCGCAGTGCATTAGCGTCCGCCGGTGTCCGTGTGCACGGCACAGGGTGCCTCATGAGATACGCACCAGGGGCCGATGCCTGTCCGGCGTCCCCCGCAGGCTGCTGTACAGGTCGAGGTGCTCGCGGACCGTGAGCAGCGGCACGAGCGCGTCGAACTGCGGGCAGTAGCCCGTCATGCGGCGCACCGAGTCCATGTCGGCGCGCACGGACCGCCCGGACACGAGCGCGTCCCCGCCGGAGATGAGCGTGTCGCCCGTCAGCATCTTGAAGATGGTGGTCTTGCCGGCGCCGTTGAGGCCGAGCAGGCCGAAGCACTGGCCGCGCTCCACTCCGAGCGACACGCCCGCCACCGCGGGGGGCGCCTTACGGTTGTAGCGCTGCGGAAAGATCGGAGGTAAGGAAATGTTTTTCTTAGTGTGCTAGGCTAGGTTATGTTACAAACGAAAATTTCATGTCGAATCAAGACTTATATTTGTAAGTAAGTGGCAAAGCATGGGCAGAGTGAGGCCGTACCTTGGTGATTTTCTTGAGCACGAGCATGCCCTGGTCGGCGCGGCCTTCCGCGACGCGCTGCTCCTCGCGTAGCACGTCGTCCTCTTTGTTGGCGTCCGCCTCGGCGACTTCGTTTCTGCTGCCCTGCGCCCAGCCGTGCCACCAGTGCGTGCTCTGCTCCGCCAAGAACACGGCGACCGCCAGCACCGCCGACATGCTGGCCATGGCCACCATGTGCTTGCCCGTGACTTCCCAGTCGAGTGGTGAAATGCCGGGCTGCCCTGAGCATCCATGAAAGAGCGACAGTTTGAACACTAGCTCTTATAAGACCTATGAGGCCTTTAACGAGCATAAGTCATGCTGGGTTTAAGAATTCGGCAATTACCTTGCATCTCCAGAATGAGCGATTGGAAATGGTTCATCGCCATGTTCATGAGACCCTGTCCCAGGCAGTACTGGGGCAGCATCAGGAACAGCGTCTCTACGACCTGCCTTGTAGCCTAGAGACCACAAATGTTGAGTGTTAATAAGCATTTTGGAATAGGCGAACGTCGATATGACTGATGTCCAAGGAAGAAGAACTTACTGCAGTGCTAGTGACGGTCATGACCATCATTGTGACTGTGCCGACCAAGCCGATGAAAAGGTTGCCCGTGGACAGCACCAAGAAGGCCATGCTGGGGATGCGGAAGAACCAGTGGAACAGGTAGAGCAGCGGGGTGCAAGACATCCTGCACAAGGCAATCTTAGTGGTAATAAAGTCGAACAGCTCTAGAGAAATAGACGAAAAGTTTGACGCGATAGTTACTCACCCATACAGGAAAATAAGGAATATAAGCGCCGTAAGATTTTTTCCTGACACATACATTGGGGTTTGGAATGCGACGAAAATCAAGATGACAAAAATTTCGGCGGCCGTGAAGTTTACCTAGTTTTGCAAAGATAGAGAAATCATGAAAAGGTGACCAGTTGACTGGCGGTTCTCTAATCAGACCCGTCACCTCACCCATGAAGATTTACGCTCGCAACCTTAAAAACGGCAAAAAAGTTGGTCCTGTGCGAGGTCCCGTAGTTGAGAAATAAGGGAAGAGACAAAGATTGCGGTTCTGCGCTGTGGTCTGAGAACGCCTGTGGGGTAGGCCGTCCCGCTTCACAGCCGTGCGCTCCCGCCCCGGTGTGGCCTACGCTGCGACCGTCAGGCGCCCGGCCCGGCTAGCTTCCCTAACCCCCCGCCCGACACTCACCAAATCCCACGTGTAGTTCTGCAGCCAGTAGATGTAGGGCCGCAGACCGGATACGAGCTGCAGGTGCTTGGACTGCTCCACGCGCTCCTCCACAAGGTACATGACGAAGGACGCGGGCACGAAGCTCATGGCGAAGATGACCGTGATGGCAGACGAAAGGACGACGCTGACCTCACTGCAAGCCAAGACCACGGCTAGAGTTTAAGAAAGACGACCATGCCACAACAGCCAGTTCAATAATAGTCGCACTGAAGCGAGGTCGTACACAGGGTCGATCTTGTTGTCGTCGTCCGCGTCCGGGTCGGCGGGTAAGGCCCAGCTATTCGTCAGGATGCCGTAGTCCCTCGGCGTCTTGCCGGCTGGTAGAGAGGCCCTCAGGATCACGTTGTTGATGGCGTTCTGGTACGCAGGCACGGAAGCGTAGCCCTTTGTCGAGAACCAGATCTGGGAGCACAAGAGTAGAGGGAGCGGGAAGGATTACGTGGCAATTCGGGACGATTGCTCTCAAAACATGGAGGTTCCTTCCCATACCCTTGCATTGTCAGCTTGTCCAAACTGCCCATACTCAGTCGTCCCGTTGTACTGGGCGCCGAACGTGACGCCGCCGAACCTATTCCGCTGGCACGCCGTGTTGGTATTCATAAGCCAGGTCTCGGTGTCACTTCCAGTCAGGTCGTAGACCAGCTCCTTGCTAGGGAGGACCACGGACCATTCTGCTTTCTGAGGATCCTACAAAGTGAGAGGCCAAACATGGGTCGTTAGATCAAGTGTAGGATCCCTGGAAGCCTGGGCAAGGGTGGTCAGGTCACTGGCATAGACAAAAAGTCGCCTTAACATCATTGCTCTACACTTTCACCCTACTTTGGGTGAAATAGACCCACCGGCGGCGAGTTGGTGCAGTGGTAGTCCGGCGTCCTGCGAGTCAGGTCCATGTCCTTGTCGACGGTGCCGCCAGCCACAAGGCTCGGTCCGAGGCCGTCGCTCTTCAAGGACTTGGCGTACTTGTCTCCCCAGTCGTCGCCCTGTAACGTTCGACAGAAACGCGATGCTAGAGAACGGTAGTCCTCACTTATGCAGAGTCTATGTGCGAGTCGGTGACGTTACCTGTGTTTGTTCAAAGAACGACACCGCGGGCCAACTGAGCAGAGAGGGTTGCATTTGTATCGCGGGAGGGGTTCCGCTGCCGGTACTGGAGGACAAGGCGAGAGCGAGCATCACGAAGATGGCCGGCAGAACAAGCTGCGAGGAGAGCAAAGACATGAGATATAACAAGCAAGGCGTATGCGGTTTTCTATTTCTGGTCCATGTGGGGCCATACCTGCGTGAAGAGGCCTTTCGGGTCGCGACGGACGTAGTTGAAGCGCTTGCGCGTGAGAGCGACGTATTGGTGCCATAGGAGGCTGACACCGGACAGCGAGTCCACCAGCAGCTCGCTGGAGGAGCCGTCGTCATCGCCCACGTTGACCACGTCGCTGATGCTGCCGGCCGCGTCTGCCTCCGCCTTGCGCTCCGCCACCCGCAGGAAGATCTCTTCGAGCGAGGTGTCCGAGATGGCGTACGACGCGATGCCCAGTTGTTCGCGCCGCTCGTCCAGCCGTTCGAAGAGGGCGGTGATGGCGGCCACGTCGTGGCGGTCCGGCAGCGTGTACACCACCTCGGCCTCCTCCACGTCGTCACGGTCCTGGGGCCTCGCGGTCGGCATCACGGACTGCACCTCGCGCAGCAGACGCTCCTTGCCTGTGGGACAGTGGGCCGATTAGCTCTCGTGGACTCGGGGTAGGTCGACGTAACGAGGAAAGCAGGATCCGTGAGAAAAATAATACTCCAAGCCCAATGGTTTAACGAGTACCACCCCCGAGAAGTAAGGAACCGGCCTGTGGGGGAAAAGACGATAATCCGAAATTTTCCTGTTTCTCACTCCTTCTCATGCACTGTAAAAGTAGTCTACAATTCAAGAACAGTGTGACACCGTTACTTAAACTCGCAGTTTAAAACTGATAGGTTTTTATTCTGGCCTGAAGAGAGCGATTCAAAATAACAGTTTTAAACTGGTGATTTTAATTACAACGACGATTGATTAATTAAGTATCGGGATTTTTTTTTGCAGTCGTATGGTGCGCTGCCAGTGGCTTGTTGTGCCTCGTCAGAGCGGATATGAGTCGGGAGGGATAGCGTAGGAACTGTGTGATAGTATTCTATTTATAATCCATCTATGACTGTAAGATATTTTAGACAGCCTCACATGATACGGGGAGTTCCTTCAGTGAAAGGTGAGTCGAGATGGGTGGCCCAAAGTGTCGCTCTCTCAGCGACCAAGGTCAAGGTCTGACCTCTCACTAAAGGAAACCCCGAAAAGTTATCGAAATGTTTTGATATATTGTTCCAGCCACTTCAAAACGCATAAATTAGTATATGTTGTGGGGAAGAAATATCTCTTCACACTTAGAATGGATCATCCCCTGGAGCTTCAGCCCGTACCTCGCCTCTATGGCTCAGACGGTAGCGCGCCCGCCCCTGAGCGAGGAAGATCGGCGGTTCGAATCTCCGTCGATCTGAAATTTTACTCAGGCCACCAAATATCAAATGGACTTCAAAACCGTCATTTCCGGTTGACTCCCGACACCTCTTTCGCTCCCCCTTCGTCCTCCGCGCCTTCACGCCAGTGCGTAGGCAATCCATCGTTTTCTCCAGGACACCCCGGTATGGGCGGCGAGAGAGGCTGAATGAAGATAGGGCAGATTCTGCAACTCACGCTCTAGGTCGTAAGGCTTGGCCTCCTCCAGCTCGATGGTCAGGTGGTAGCCGCTCCCCAGGCGCTCCTTGAGGAACACGCTGGAGCCGCAGCACTGCAGTTGGCCCTCGCTCATGATGGCGATCCGGTCACCGAGTAGGTCCGCCTCATCCATGAAGTGCGTCGTCAGGATGATGGTGCGTCCTGTGGAGCATGAAAATACCGTAAATTAACACCTTTTAGTAACTGCGTAATCTGGCCAAAAGGCTAGTACGCCCGTGCTAGATAATTTCATTTCCTAGTCTCGCTGAGTGAACACACAACGCGCCATTAACGATACGGCGCGTTCCACTCAGCTGATTGTGTACACCCCTCCCACACAACCCTCCCATGACGCACTCCATCGACCGTAGACTGTTACCTTTGCGGAACTTGACAAGCAGCTCCCAAATGCCTCGACGTGAAAAGGGGTCGACGCCGGCCGTCGGCTCATCCAGGAAGACGACCTTGGAGCCGCCCACGAAGGCCATGCCCACGGACAGCTTGCGCTTCATACCCCCAGAGAGCGTGTTGGCGAAGGCCTTCCTCTTCTTCTCCAGGTCCATCTCGCTCAGCATCATGTCGATATCGCCCTTGAGCTCCTTCTCCGACATCCCCTTGATGCGGCCGAAGAAGAGCAGGTGCTCCTCCACCGTCAGGCTGCGGAGGACACGCACAGTTAGGGGTCAGGGTGTCCAACACGGACATATTCGGGCGTCATCTGCTAAGATTACTCACCTGTTAAAGAGCACGTTGTGCTGCGGGCATACGCCCATGTTGGCGCGAATGGCGTCCATGTCCTTGCGGATGTCCAGCCCGTAAAGCCTGGCCGTGCCGGAGGTTGGCGGGTACATCCCCGTCAACATGGAGCTGCAAAAACAGTCCGGGTCTTCAGGCTGGCGGGCTGTTGGACCCACACAGTGAAGGGCCACACCGCCCTTACTTACATGGTTGTGGTCTTGCCCGCTCCGTTGTGTCCTAGGAAGCAGTTGATCTGGTTCTCAAAAAAGTTTAGGCTGAGACCGTTGACTGCGGCCTTCTTCCCAAAGACTTTGCCCAACTTGTCGATAGACACGCCAACGACGCCGTTCTCAGGCTCTGGCTCCAGGAAGTCGGCGTTAGCTGAGAAGGCAAAGTTACAAAATAAAATAAACAATTATAGAAGTTAGAGTAAGATTAGTCCATAAAATAAAGAACGGAAAACATTAAATTTTGACCACAGCATACTGTTTGTAGCTCTCCTCCCTCGTCATCATTGGTTCGTACCTGGGTCGACGTGTTCGGCACTCAGTGTAATAGCGTCCTGCGAAGATGGCGTGCCTAGCCAGTAGGACTTTTGGAGGAAGAAGTAGAAAGGCTTGGGCACCCCGTACTCCCCGGGGAACACGTTCTCGATGTACCACGCTAGCACTGCGTACAGCACCGCGTCTAACCAGAGCATGCCGATGGCGCCCGCCATGGTAGCGGGCTTGCCCGGGCCGGCGGGGTCGTTGATGGTGGACCACTGCACGCCCACCATGCTCTCCTCCATCTTGGCCAGCACGAGGGAGCCCTCAGCCAGGGCCACGTTACTGAACAGGCTCTGCAAGTAGAAGGGTCAAAATAGCCCACAGGGCGGGATAGGGCCGGAGTAACCTACTTGAAAGAGGGCTCACCGAGGCCAGGACGGCTGAATAGGACGGTTCTGTTGGCGAGTTCTCCACCAGCTGATAGGCTAGGAAAGTGAGGAAGTAGATGACACCGGCGGACGGGCCAGCCAGGGTCGCTCTCGAGAAGAAGGTGGACACCAGCATGGCGAAGGACAGCATGGCGACGACGAACGACACGAGGAGCAGTAGGATTATGGTCACGTCTGACCGCTCGGCCAGCCCACCGTACTTTATGAGGACGCTGAGAATGATGCAGGTGATGATGGAGCTGCGTAGGCCCTCGACCACCCAGCCTGACCACTGCACGCCTCGGCTCATGCCCATCACCGCCAGCACTTCCTTGACGCGCTCCTGCTTCTCCAGCACGACGCTCTTCACCGTCTGGGAGAAGGTGTACACCCAGGCCAACACCATCATGAGTGGCATGAGTTGCGTCAGCATAGAGGCCAACCTGATCGTCGCAGAAAAGCGTTCGTTACGAAGGAAACTCGCATTGACATATTAACACACAACTTGCTACACACACAACTTACGTGTCCACCTCGATAGCTGGAGTGGGAAACTGCTTTAACAGGCGGCCGGGTCGCATCTTCGCCGTACGCCCGGTGTGCAGCCCAATCACAGCGCTATCGATCATATCCTGGAACAGGATCACATAGTGAGGGACCTCTGTCACAAACAACCGCGTATTTAGAAGCCCGCTCCCACCGCTGTGCTACCTGCAGGTATGCGAAGCCGTACGTGATGGACTTTAGGTCCGTCAGGGGGTAGTCTAAATGCTTTGCCCCGCTACCGAACGACGACGACGTTTTGACGGAACCTATCCTGGTCTGGTCCATGCGAATCGAATACTTGACGAAGGGCGCCAGGTCGTCGTTGCCGGCTTCATCGAAATAAACCAGTGCCCACAGGTTGTTGGCACGCTGCAGCTGGAAAGCCTCCTTGAGAGCGTTCTCCGACGTCACCGCCTGGACCTTTTCCCGGTTCACGCACTGCAAACAACAGACGTACCGAGTGATGCTCACCCAAGGACTGGGATAGGTAATGAGTCATCAAGTAGGCGCATTGCGGACCGGAACGAACCTTTTCGAAAAGCTCACCGAAGGTCTTGAAGACTGGTCTCAAGTAAGGTCGCATCTTCAAAAGAACCTGTAAGAGAATCAGGTTGCTTTTACATGTGGCCAGACAGTCAATATTGGTTGCGCACTTTTTGGGCCCATACCTCCAAAAGTTCTGGTGGCAGAGTAGAAAAGTCGGTCAGCTCGTTGAACGTGTTATTGACCTCCTTCATGATGGCTCTGGTCGCTTTCGTATCCGGGTAGTACAGAATCTTCCCCCTTATCAAGTCCATCAGATATTACTAGTCGAGCACTCGACTTACCGACCCCTTCCTTAAAGATTTTCCTGTTCTACTTACGTGATAAAGGGCTTCATCACATCCCAGTCCAGGAAGACGGTCAGTTCCCTGATCACCTCTCCAACCGTCTTGCATTCTTCCGATTCGTCTGGAACCGTGCCGTTGCCCGACGACGTTCCAGCTCTTGTACGATGCATGTGGCTACCACCCACACTCCGCGGACTTCGGAGGAATGGGTCACTTCCGTCGCCGGAACACAAGTTGGGCGCGTTGAAGATGAAAGAGTGGAGGAACGGGAGCTGGCCGGCAGAAGGCATGGCCTTCTCTTTGTAGTGGCCTGCAGCAGTGGAAGTAAGACAGGAGTAGTGAGGTTGAAAGAGAGAGTTTACGCAAATCATATCAGCTTTAGGAGCACAACTTACATTCATTAGCCCTTGAGGTGGTTCCGCTACTAGATGGTTTTAGTGCGACAATAATGACAAATAACAGAAGCGGGTAGACAAGTTCGATGACGAGGCGTGTCTGCAAAAATAAGGATATTCATAAACACCGCAGTCGTACTACCCTTTGCACCGTTTTGAAATCAGAAACTGATATTAGTGCAGTTGTAATGCCTTCTTGTACACACACACGTTTCACATGTTTACCTTGTTCCTCCTCCTGATGAGGAAGTTTTTCCACAGTAGCAGTCTCAATTTATGCAGGTACCCCATGATGTGCGTTTCGTTGGTGTAGCTGGGCTGCTGCTGTTTCTACCTGCAATGATACCCAATAAATGCGACGTTAGGGCCCGTAGTTCGGTGACGCGGTGCACTCCATGTGACGCATGATGTACGCTATCTCTCGCATATCTCGAGCGGGATTGACGCCCCTCCCACGAAACAAACGCATGGCGATCCAAACTAGTGGGGGCCGCCGGAAAGAGCAAAAGAAAAGGAGGTGGAGGGTGGGGGG